TTAGCACTTTAGCCTTTTCCTTGTTTTGTTTTTGTATTTTTTTAGGGAAGGGTCTACCGGGTGTTTAGGGTCTCACTACTAGATCGGACTCACAGTGATCTGCCTGTTTACAGCCTCCTAAGAGCTGGGATTACAGACGCATGCCACCACACCCAGTCTCAATTGGCATCTCAGCACACTCCGGGGGTGGGGCTGGCACAGCAGGCCTGGGAATTGAACCCCTGACCCCAGTACCTGCTTGCAGGCGCTGTAGTCTGCTGAGCTATTTGGCCAGCCCTGCCATTTCATTTTTTTAAGACATGATCTTGCTGAATTTTTCAGAATAGATCTGAACTTATGGTTCTGCCTCAGCCTCCCATGGGGAGAAATGGAGCTGGAATTGCAAGCATGTGCCTAGCTTACTGATTTAAATATTAATCGTATCTTTTTAAAAAAACTCCCTTTTTGGTGCTGGGATGGAGCCTAGGCCTCATGCATACTAGATACTCAGGCACTGCCTTTAAAAGAATCCTCATGGTGATGTCTGGACTGGTGTTTGGCCGGAGAGCTGGGTACCATGGCCTCTCCACGTGGCACATAAGGTTATCATCACTAGCTTGGTATGGTGGCATACGTCTGTAATCTTGGCATTCTGGGAGGCTTAGACAGGAAGACCACAAGTTAGAGTCCCACGTGGGCAACTTGCAAGAACCTTTATCAAGGGGCCGGGAGATAGCTCAGTAGAATAAGCGTTTGCCTGGCAAACACAAGGGCCTGAGTTCAATCCCCGGTCCCCCCCCCCAAAAAAAAAAGAACCTTTATCAAAAATAAGTGTGTGTGTGTGTGTGTGTGTGTTATGTACGTATGTATACATAAGGGCTGGGGATGCAGCTCAGTGTGAAAGCTCTGGGGGTTCAATCTGTAGGACAGAAAAAAAAAAAAAAACAAGAGATTAACTGTCACGAGGTCTGCGTAGTCTGTAGAGATAGCAGTATTATACAGTGTTCTGCAAAATGTCACCAGCCCTTGGTGTAGCTAGAGACACACATATTTCCTAAGCTCTCCAAGGCGGAATCGCCCCAGTTGCGCTTGATCTCCTTCCCATGTGCAGCTGTCGTGCCTCAGTTCTGCTTGCTGCACCTGTGATCCGGACAGGAGGCAGCTGCCCTCCACAGCTCTGAAATGGCCTTGGAAGTCCTTGAGTCGAGACTTCCTCCCGGGGAATGGAGCTTTCTGGCTGGAAGCTGGTCAGGGCCCCAGACCTTGCTGTTAGCTGGCCCACACTCACCAGTTTCTGTAACCATGGCTGGCTGAGATACTGATACTTGACACTCAAATCAATGATCTTCCTGCTGACATAGGAAGACTGGCCTCCAGGCTGGGCACTTCCCCTAGCAGCTGCCTTCTAAGTCAGCTGGCTCCTGGGGGCCTAGATGCAGGGCTGCACTGCACGTATGCAGGTGGGGGAAGCGGCAGTGAATTCTGCTGGGGAGGGGGGGCGGGGGGGGCCTGCCTGTTTGCAAAATGATACTGTGTCCAAGTCTTCTGTCATTACCTACCTTGGTTGGTGCTAGAACACTGACTTGGGGTGGTGGTTTATACTCTGGAATAAATGGACTCTTACATTCTTGCATGATAGCTGCCTTGAGCTCCCTCCCTTTTATAGAAGGGAAGTGACTACACTGGTGGACGTTTTTTGTTTTGTTTTTCTGGTGGAGTATTTTTATAAAAATCCAGATTGCCTGGCTGGTAGTACACACCTATAATCCCAGCATTTGGGAGACTGAGGCAGGAGGATCTCCCTGAGTTCAAGGCCAGCCTGGGCTATATTGTGAGACCCTGTCCAAAAAAAAAAAAAATGCAGGTTCATTCCTTTCAAGTACAGAATGCCTAGTAGGGCCAATGCTGTGTTGCTTAGGTTATCACTAACACAAAAATAAAACCTCCCACAAGTCATGTCAGGTGTTAGCAGTCCTGCCTATGGGGCAAATCTGGTCCTTCCCTGTGTTTTTGTTTGTGGAACCATGGGTTGAACTCAGGCAGGCAAGCTGAGCTATCTCCCCGACCCCCTTCCCTGTGTTTGTAAACAGGTTTATTGGTCACAGGTCACAGCCCTTTGTCATTTCCTTTTTTTTTTTTTTTTTTTGGCTGGCTCCGAATGCCTTCAGGGCAAGTTTGGCTGACTTGAGTTGTGGGGATCAAACCACAGCAACCTGAGCCTGACTGCTTTGTTGAAGCAGCCACTTAAAGAACTGAGCTAAGGGGCAGGCCCTTGTCATTTCCATTTGATCCCTGGTCGATTCTGTGCTGCAGTGAGTTGAGTTAGCCGCAGTGGAGTCCTTTTGTCCTGCAAAGCCAAAAGTGTTTACTGTCTGGCATAACAGGAAGAAGCTTGTTGACACTGACCTTAGAAGGTACTGGTGGTGGGAGAAGAAAGTGATAAATTTAAGAGCACAGGCCTTGGAGTCAGGTGTGTGGATGGAGCCCTAACTTTCCTGTTACATGTTGAGTAACCCTTACTTGGAATTCTTTTATTTGTATTTTTTTATTTTTGGTACCAGGGATTAAACTCAGGACCTTGCACTGTCAGGCAGGCCTTTAAGCCACTGAGCTATCTTCCCAGCCCTGCTTATTTAGAATTCTTGGGGCCAGAAGTGGTGTGGACTGCTTCAGTGTTTGCATATTTGCACATACAAAATGAGATGTGTTGCAGACAGGACCCAAGCCCAAGCATAGAGTTGCCTAGCAGCCTTGCACACGGGGCCTGCAGGCAATTTTATCTGATATTTTCAGGATACCTGTGTTTGACTACATCCCATATAAAGTTGGCTGTGGATTTTCTACTTATAGTATCAGACCAGTACTCAAAAAGTTTCAGATTCTGAAGCATTTAGAGTTTTGTATTTTTGGAGGAGGGATGCTGCTGTCTCAGTTACTCTTTTCTTGTTGTTGGGACAGATACCAAACAGGCCAAAAGAGGAAAGGAAAGGTTTATTTAGCTCACAGTTACTGAAGGTTTCAGTCCATGCTCAGCTGGCTCCAGGGCAGAGCAGCACAAGGCAGAGAGCAACCTTTCAAGGCCGAGGCAAAGAGCAGAGAGTTAAGGGAGGGGCAGCTGCTCTGGCAGCTAGCTAGGCTCTCTCTCCTTACATTGTAATGCAAATTACCTGCCTCAGGGCAGGTGCAGCATCCACCCTCACAATAATGGATCACAAACTCCAGAAGCTGCCTCTGACTACAGGAGGTTTTGGGGAGACACCTAGACACAAACCATAACAGGTGCTTAGCGTGTACTAGCTGTGAAATCCTGGGCAAATTATAAACCACTCTGTGCTCAAACAGTAGTAGCTGTTATTAATATTCCAAGGGCCAGGGAGATGCCTCAGTGGAATAAGCGCTTCCATGGCAAGCGCAAGGGCCTGAGTTCAATCCCCGGTTCCGGAAAAAAAAGAGTATGTTATTAATATTCCAGACAGGAGGTGTAGCTTGGTGTTAGGGGACTAGCCGAGCAGCCCCAAAAAAAGAAAAAGAAAAAAACTTAGTATTTTTAGAGTAAAGGTTAAAGTAGGGTCAGAAATGGTTTATTAACATTTTTAAGTTGCCAGTCTTTAAGTAAATTTCACATAGAAATCTAGAGTTCTAATTTTGTTGGAAAATCCAGGCATTCTGGCAGCGCTGTATGTCGAGCCCATCTTCTTCCCATTATACTTTGCTTCCTTTATGAATTGAATACGTATAATTTGAGAACTCTTAAGAAATCTTTCCTAATTTCCGATTTCAGTGTGTGGAGTGTGCCATTAGTCCCAGCTATTCAGGAGGTTAAGGCAGGAGGATCACTTAGAGCCAGTAATTCCAGCAGCCTGGGCAACATAGCAAGACACACATTAAAAGTAAAACAAAAGGGCCTATGCAATAACTCAGTGGACTCAACACCTGCTTAAGCAAGCTCGGGGACAGGGGTTTGATCCCTGACACCACATGCTGCACCAGCCCCGCCCATGAGTGCACTGAGCCAGCCACTGAGCCCCAGTGTGGTGGTACAGACCTGTAATCCCAGTGCTGGGGAGGCTGAAAACAGGAGGATCACTCTCGAGTCCGAACTATGTAGTGAGATCCTGTACTGAATACATAAAAAAAAAAAAAAGGTAAAACAAAAAATGGGCATGGTGTAGTACACCTGTAATCGCTAAAGTCTGGGAAGCTGAGGCAGGAGAATTGCAAGTTCAAGACCAGCCCTAGCAACTTGATGACTTAGTGAAACCCTATCTCAGAATCTAAAAAGGGCTGGATGCAGCTCAGTGCCATAGCTCTGGGTTCAATCCTCAAGTCCTGGGAGGAAAAAGAATCACACTCCATAGAACTACAGTCATACCACACACCTTTGAAGTTAATATTTATTTATTTGATTCAGGGTCTTGTTATGCAGTTCAGACTCTTAGTAATCCTCTGTCTCAGCCTCCCCAGCACTGGGATTATAGGCATATGCCACCACATCCAGTTTTGGGGCTGGCACAGTGCACCCAAGGTTCTAGGGCCTGCATGGCATGCAGTACCCAGGATCAACCTCAGGTGCTTGTGCTTGCTAGGCAGGCACTTAGACCCCTGAACTATCTCCTCAGCCCTACCACACACCTTTAGAACTCCATCTTCAGAGAATAGAGCAGAGGTACACATAGCATGAAAAATCTCCCAGTGACTTCAGGGTAGTGGTTTAAGCCACTGTGCCCTCTGATGTCTCTGCACCCTCACTGTTACAGCTCGCCTGTCTTTGCGTACTTTTCCTCCAGGAGTCTGGCTGCCTTCCTGCTGGAAACTGCCTCTGCTTGCCCACCCTGCCACAATTGGCATTCCCAAGATTGCATCTCTTGAGACCTGGAGATGCCCCTGAATGGAGGTGGCCAGAGGAAGAGGAGGTGGCACTTGTTTCTGGGAGGGGACTCTCAAGGTGGCCTTCCTGGAGAGTCCTGAGTTGGGAGACCTGAGCCCCCACTGAGCACCATCTACCCTGTCTCTCTCCCCAGGCTCTGGAAGAGGATTTGAATCAGAAAAAGCGGGAGCAGGAAATGTTCTTCAAACTGAATGAGGAGTCGGAGTGCTCCGTCCCTACCACTCCGAGCAAGGCCACCAAGTTCTTCCCCTACAGCTCTGCAGATGCTTCATAACACCCTTGCCCCGAGCTGGCAGGGAGAGTGGTGGGCCACAGGCCCTGCCATCTTGTGAACAAGTGACTCCAGAGCCTCTTCCCCTCGCTCGATGCCAGCGCAAATCCAGCTCCCTGCTTTGTGGCACCCAGTGTGCACCACACACTGCCTGGTGACTTCTCACTTGCTTGTGGAGGGCGAAGTTACCTATGTGGCACCTTCCCCCAGTGTGTCCTCAGTGAGCACCACGTCCCATCAAGCTGCAGTGACCTGGGCTCTGAGTGGGGTCAGGGGCCAGGAGTGGGTGTGCTATGGGCTTAGGGGACCTCCTGTTTGCCAAAGCACCAGTTTTGCTGTCCGTAGGCACAAAGCACTGCCGATGAAGTCACCCTGGGTTCAGCTGTATTGTGTCGCTTCGTTTTCTGGCGAAGCCTTGCATTGTCAAAACTTTAGCAGCCCTTTCAGTTCCCAACAAAGCCAGGCTGACAGCCAGCTACTGCGGGGATGTTCTTGTCCCCGTGGATCCCCACTTTGCTTTCTGCTTAAGCCAAGGCTGTGTGCATGTGGGGGAGGAGATGAAGGAGCCTGAAATGTTCGCCGTGCCGTTCTTGCATTTTAGGCCATGCCCAATCCCCCTCCCTGTGTGTGTGTTCACGCTCACACACACACACACCCTGCCACAGTAAGGCTTGCTGTGCACTGAGCTGCGTGGTAGGTGGAGCAGTTGGTGAGCAAAATGCTGGGTGTTGGCACAGAGTCCCAGGGAAGGCACAGGCTGTATTGCCAGTCTGCAACTTGTTTTGGCCCCCCACAGGATCAGGGATTCAGGGATAAACTCCTAGCCTTACAAGACTTTCACAGCCCAGCCTGCCCTGCCCGGCTCCTGCCACCCAGTGTGCGGGTGCGATGGGAAGGACTTTTCCCTCAGCCTTGGGCCCTGTCCCAGAGTGCACCTGACAGCTCAGACCAAGCCCTGCAGGTGCCTGGCCTTTTCTGGAACAAAAGGCGTAGGGGTTGTAGGTGGCACAGGACGCTTCCTGCCTGTGGGAGCCTGGCTGAAGCAAAGCTTCTGAACTTCAGTGGACTCCTGGGCCCTCAGCGTCCTCAGCCAGCTTCCCCAGACACTGATCTGACAGGCTGCAGAGCATGTGTGACCCAATAAAAGCGAGTACTCCAACCAGCTTCACCTTGATTTCTAAGTGTTCTGTGAAAGCAAATCTCAAATGTATGGCTTCTAGCTGGATACAGGAGTGCATATGCCTGCCACCCCAGTACTCGGGCAGATGAGTCAGGAGGATCATGAGTTCAAGTTCAGCTTGGACTATAGTGAGACCCTGTCTCTCAAAAAAAAAAAAAAAAAAAAAAAATTATACATTTAAAAAATATCTCTAGATATATAGAGTGAGTGTGTGTCTACTTAAAAGCATCTATAGTGCTGCTACTGATGGGCATTACTGAGTCTAGTCACTGTTTTGTTTTGTTTTGTTTTCCCTTGGGTTTTGTTTTGTTTGTGACACTGGGAATTGAACCCAGAACCTTCATGCTGAGCTATGTCTCCAGCCTGTTTTCATTTTGAGACAGCTATCACTAGGTTGCCCAGGCTGCGACTTGAAGCTGGAATCCTCCTTCCTCCAGCTCCCAGCCTGACTTTGGGTGCTGTTTGGCTGGTGACAGGTGGCTGAAATGCCCAGGAGGACTTTGTCCTTCCTTACTCCTAAAGGTTAGGGTTTAGTACTTTGTCTTTGAGCAATTTCTCATACTGGTTATAACTGGATACTTGGAAAGGGAGGGGCAGCCATGCAACAAGGAGAAGGGACAGGGGCTTGTAAATCTTAGAGCTGCAGTAAAAAGCAGCTCTCAGCGCCAGGAAAGGCAGTGGTCCTCCTAGCTCAGCACTCGGTGTGCCTGCTTCAGTATTTGACCCAGGTGAGAGGGTTTCAGGTTTCACACTAATGACACAAGCTGAACAGCTGTCTTTGTCTCCTCTCTCTGGGGCACAGGTGCCAGGGGGAGTGTAAACTGGCAGCAGAGAAACTGCAGGACACACCCCCAGGAACTCTGGGCAAGGCCTTGTGGGTGGACTCTTAGGACGACGTTTACATTTCCTTCTGCAACCTGGGGTGTGAGCCCGAGTATTAGGTGAAATGCCAGTTTCTCAGTTCAGGAGAAAGTCTTGATCATTCCTTTAGGTGGCTTGTCACTCATCTTATCCTGGTCCTCCAGAGTTGCCCTGAAGCATGATGCCTGCCCTGGGCCTCTGGATGGGGTCTGGCTGGGTTTCCCAACCTCAGTTGAGCTGGTGTGCTGTGCACATCACTGAGAAGGCCCACACAGTATTTCATGCCTTGTGCTAACATTTTCTTTCTTTTTCTTTTTTTTTCTTTTTTGGCAGAACTGGGGATTGAACTCAGACCCTTGTGCTTGCCGGGGAAGTGCTTATTCTACTGAGCCATCTCCCTGGCCCCTGTGCTAACATTTTCTATGTAAAGGACAGACAAATGTTTCTCCTTTCCATCATTTTTAGCAAAGTAAATAGAACTAACTTATATTTTTCTCTTTATGAAGGACAGAAGTTATTTTTATGTAGTTTCCAAACTTTACACAAAACTTTTGTAAAATGTTCTCTGCAAAGTTAACTACAAGAATGTAAATCTGCTTTTAATAAAATAGCAAAGCAATTTGCGGTTAAAGTGGTTCTTTTGGATCCGGGTGGGAAGTGAGGGGTATTTACATGTTTGCCCATCAAGTGAGGCTTTATCCTCTGAGTACAGGTGTCTCTGCGTAGTTTTTGGGTTTCTGTTCTGAACCAAGTTCTCCTCTACAGATGGGACCCGTGGAAGGAGAGAGAGAGAAACAATGTGTGATATGTGTATGGGGGTGTGTTCTCTACGCATTTAATATCCTCAGGTTCTCATCTGACAACAAACATACACTGATCTCTAATATTCTCACATGGTAATAGAGTGAATCAGATGGAATCCTTTCAACAACTCATGAGGAAATGGGTCAAGGCAAGAGTCATGCCAGATCTTCCCAGTACTGCTAGGTGGCATCTATGGAATTCAAACAGGCCTCCTACCATTGCTGTCAGCACCACACCACCCCAACTGCCCATTCAACTACCTAAGGATCACACTAATCACTTGCCATCTCTGCTGTATTTAAAATAAATACAGCAATAGTAGAATAAGCAATCATTGTTATGCCTCTCAGATACCATTCAGCGGTTCTTTTAACCTGTGGTCCAAAAAAAAAAAGCAACACTATAAGGGGCGGGGGAGATGGCTCAGTGGAATAAGCACTTCCCTGGCCAAGTGCAAGGGCCTGAGTTCAATCCCCAATTCCGCAAAAAAAAAAAAAAAAAAAAAAAAAAATCTGTGGTCCATGGCTTCTTTGTACCTGTTTAGCAAAAGTTGTGGTCTTTAGTTTTTTTTGACCTTGAAAGCAGGAATCTCCTTCCTTCACAACTGTGGCCAACAAACCCCAGCAGTAACACTGCCTGACTTGCCAATAGGAATCACAGCTACTTCATATCACATCCCAGTGGTTACAGACGGTTACAGACATCATGAACTATATTGAGCCACTACAAAGTTACAGTCTTTCTCAAAACCTAGTCACATTTATCTAGTTTTACTCTTTTTTTTTGCACTTTAGGACAGGGTGTACAGGGACTCACTGTACAGATCAGACTCCTCCTGATCCTCCTGTTTACAGCCTCCCAAGTGCTAGTATTACAGGTGCACGCCACCACGCCCAGTCTCAATCACCGACTCAGTGCTCCCCGGGTGGGGCCTGCATGGCAGGCCCAGGGATCAAACTCCCAGCCCCTGGGTCTGCCTAAGCAGGCACTTTAATCCACTGAGCTATTTAGGCGGCCCTTTTACATTTCTTTCAATGTAAAGAGAAAGATGTGAAGCTGGTCATAGTGGTGCACCCCTGTAATCTCAGCACTCAGGAAGCTGAAGCAAGAAGGCTGGTGTGAGTCTGAGGCCATCTTGGGCTGCTGTGTAAGTGAGTTCAAGGCCAGCCTGGACTAACTACATAATGAGAACCTGTTTGAAGAACAATCAATAAAGATGTCAAAAGAAACTATAAGATATATACACAAGTGCCCAACCCCCATGAACTCAGCTTTTAAAAAGGAACAGTTTTGTTCACCAGAGAAAATTAGTTCTGCTTCTAGAAGATGTTCCTGTGCCCCATTCCATGTTCTCTTCCCCTTGTAGCCACTTGAACCTTCAGAAGAGTGCTTTTCAGCCAGCCCCTGAGCCTTGGTTTTTTTCATGCTCTTTAATGGATGCATTTTTGAGCATGTCAGACAAAATCAGAAAGCAGATCTCACCACCACTAATGTACACCTGGTCCAGCTGTGTCACTCAGCCCTCTCTGTATGTGACAATTCAATAAGCTTCCTGTAATGGGTCAACTCACATTTTAGATTATAAATGTAAATCTTGTGTTTTCTGTTGTATAAAAATGTATACTCACCACTGTTCTAAGTTATTTAGTAACCAGTGGCTGTTTCTTGCTGTTTGCTAAGATAAAATTCCTGTAACCCTCACCAATTCCTGTTAACAAAGTTAGCTTACAGAGATGACTTCAAAAGGAAATTAAATGGGCTTTAACTTCTTGTAACCTCGGGCTATGCTATGCAAGGCTGCAAGCGGGTACTCAGGTGCAAGATAACCAGAAACTAAAAGAAAGCCCCAGGAAATTTAGTTTGAGCAGTGGTCACAATGACCCTGAAAGCATTATTGTGTATCAGACAATGAATTTATTTACCAAATGGAATGTGGTTCCAGGTTTTGACCCACCCCACCCCCCCTTCCTGGGCTAGCTGCATGAGAGCTGATAGGGGCCCTGAGCTCAGTAATAAATGGTTTTCTAAATTCCAATCTGGCTGATCTGGTTCCTATTCTGAGTGACCCATAACATTTGGGGGCTCCGCCGGGATCCCCTTTAGTGGGGATCAATCTGAGGAACCACAATTTTCGAAAATCATTTCCCAGGGGAGACTTTCTTTTTTGGGTAGTCTCCAAAAACTTACAAATTTTATCATTCGAACCTCTGAGCCGTCTGTAAGTTCTTAACGGTGACACATCTGCATCTGTATCTGTTCTGCTCGGGTGCCCATCTGGGAGTCCTAGGTGGTGTTAGACTTAATGATAGCCCCTGGACTCGACTCCCTCCGTGACGGCGGGTCGGAGTCTCCGATCTGTGTTTGTTTCATTTTTCGTGTGTTTCAGCCGATTGTCATTTGTCTATTAACTATGTGTCAGTCTGCTTCTATTTCTGCATCTTTGTCACCCTTATAATGTTTTCTAAATAATTTTCAGGATTTCAGACAAGGAGCCTCAGAGTACAGAGACTCCATGTCCTCCAGAAAATGTTGAACTTTCTGCGAATTGGAATGGCCCTCCTTCCCCTAGGCTGCTTGGCCTCCAGAAGGTTTTTTTTTTTTTTTTAAATTTTATTTATTTATTTATTTGTGTGTGTGTGTGTGTGTGTGTGTGGCCAGCTCAGCCCACCAGGGGGCAGGGCTGGCTGGCATGTGGTGCTGGGGGATTGAACCGCGGTCCCTTTGCTTTTGTTAAGCTTGTTCTAAGTAGGTGCTTTAGACCACTGAGCCATCTCACCAGCCCCAGAAGGCTCTTTTAACCTTTCTCTTGCTTACCAGGTCCAGAGAGTCATCTTTGGAAATCTGGGACACCCAGACCAGGTCCCTTACACTTAGGCTTGGATTGATCTTGTTCATGACCCTTTGAAGTGGCTCAGAGGTTGTTGTTCTGGACGCTGTCCCTAGACACCCAGCCAATCCCACATGGTCACACTGGTAGTTTCAACTGATAAGAAGCGGCTATGACCTCCAACCATCACTCTCAGGACCCACCCATTCTGTTGCCACTCAGTATACAGATAAATTCATTATGCAGTTGTTAAAATGTTGGTCAAAATGTGTTGGTAAATTTAAACTAAAACATAGAAATGTTATAAGGTTATGATGTTTCTTTAACGGGACATTTTGTGACTGTTTTGCATGTTGTATGCGTTGCATTAGAACTGGTTGCTAAATGTACTGACATTCCTTGTTTGACTCTAGATACCAGTGCTAGAGGAAATGTTTGTAAGCCTTCTAGTGAATTTTATGTAAATTTCTGAAAAATGGGACTTTTTTCTTTTTTTTTTTTTTTTTTGGTGGAACCGGGGATTGAACTCAGACCCTTGCGCTTGACAGAGACATGCTTATTCTACTGAGCCATTTTCCTGGCCCTGAAAACTGGGACTTTTAAATCTAGTTCAGACTTAGGAAATATACATGCCTATGAAACATGTGACTACTTTTGCCAACTAAATGACATTAGGTTGGCAATCGTTCTTGACCACTGAAAGATCTCTACTGAACTACTATACCTTTTTTCCTTCTCTTTCTACTAGTGAACTAGGAATTCTACCTGAGCTTTTCACTAGAGCAACTTAATGAGTCACTCCTTCAGAAATTAGGCTGAGGCAGCTTGCAATAGTTCACATTCTATAGTGGCTGTCA